TAAGCATTGGAATCCTACACATTTAAGAGCATATGTCAATGAGCACTTGCAAAAGTGAGATGGACCTCTAACATCGGCATTGGGAGTAAGAAGCGTAGTCATATTGGCACAGTATAAACTTCACCGAAGCTGAAAATCGAAGACTGGTCTGCATAGACAAAAAAATTAAAACATACCTTGCAAGGGATTCCTGAAATTGATGAACTCTTTTTTCAAGTTATTCCAACATTAGATCCTTTTCTTCATTTGGTCTCAACGCTTATGCACACTTACTCTCAAATTCATCTCCCTGTTACTTTTCTGATTGTAATTTATAATTGAACATATTAAAGGTATCAAAAAAGTATCAGTAGAGTCACATATGAGTTTCAAAAGGCAAACAAACATTTTTCCTTTATACTTTTCAAAGAGGATGATCAAATTATGGCCATAAAATAGCCTTCAAGTTTTCAACTTCTTCAGTTCTTTTAATACAAAAGCTCCATGTGAGTTAGAAAATATTGATTTATAATAAGTTTAAAAAATCCCAATTGGTAACTATGTGCACAAATAAAATAAAAAATGAATGAACACAACCATTTATTTGATTAATTTGTAAGGATGAAAATTAGTATTTGTCTATTTAATGAGCTATGCTATTAGCTATATTCCTTCAACAAAATAGACTCTACCTTGTTTCAAAAAAAAAGTTAGACTCTACCTCCTTCGTAGCATAGTTTCAACTTGAGATGCTTCTTGTATAATACAAATACCAATACTCTATCCCTCCATAAAGTTACAGAGTTAAAATCCCCTTATATCAAGAAAAATTATTAGTAATCTGTTTGTTGTCATGACATGATGCATTATAATGATGAAGTTCGGATAAAAACACTTAAAATAAGTTTACTAACCATAGTATGAATTTGAGAGCATCAATTGAAATTAAACCTTTATAAATGCTTGAATATCAACACTTTACCTATTCCATCATATAATAATGGGAAAAAATGATGAGGTTAATGACCTACTGCCGATGTCTGAAAACTTGAGTCATCTACACCCTCAGTCACCGCCATCACTTCTTTGTTTAGATCTCTGGTTGTCATCTGTAATTTTTCAAATTTTAGGCATTTAGGAATTAGGTATATATGTAATATCTCGAAATTAAAAAATTGGGAATGAATATGATTCGAAATTAAGTACTCCCTATAAAATATCTCGGAACTAAAGATTCGAACTTAAAAATTGGAAATACGATCGAAATTAAAAACTTGTAATACGATCGAACGAATCAAAGTTTTTAAACAAATAAGATTGGCATATGCATTTTGGAAATTTACCTTTGGAGTCTTTGAAAATTTCGGATAGGTTTTTTAGAATTTAGAGACTTTCCTACAATTGAAATCCTTGAATCGCAATCATGGTTCCTTTCCATCGGCGATGAAATCAAACGGAAAAATCCTTGTATTTTTGGAGAAGACGGAGAAGAATTAGGGGTGAAGAAGCTTTGGAGATTTACGCCCCTGGATATGCGGATATGCAAAGATTCTCTAACACTATGTTTGGCTCAAGGATTTTGAAAGGAAAGGAAAAGAAAATAGTTTTCTCTCATTTTCCTCACCAAAATGAAAGGAATTTGATTTTTCCTCCACTTGGTATATTTTGTTTCCTCATTTTCTTTTCCTTCCACTTTTTCTTTCTTTTCCCCTCTAACCAAACAAGAAAAACGGTTTTCCACTTCATTTTCTTTTCTTTTCCCTTTCAAATTCCTTGAACCAAACATAGTGTAAAAGTCTTTGATCGTAGAAACAATAATAAGGAGACACGTGTAAACTGATGTGTCATTAAACTAAAACTCTTAGATTGCCACGTGTCAAAATTTTAAGCTATCAACTCTCAAATATTATATTAAAGGATATAGTCTCAAATATATGTGTATGTATTTGAAATATCATTAAAAATTATATCAATATCTAGGTAAAATATGTGTATTATACATACGTAAGTATTATATGCATATTATACGCATATTAAGTAAATATGCTCTAGACTTGGTATATTAGTAGAAGAAATCGGAATGATTCGACGAAATGGAAGGGATTGAAAAATTGGAAAGATTTAGAAAACTAGAATATAATATCTTAGAAAAAAAATGGAATAAGTTAGAATAAACTGAAAAAATTAGAAAAAATTAAAAAAATTAAAAGAAATAAAAAGTGTTGAAAAATTACTCTATATTATATTTTAATATTACATATTTTATTTAAATAGTTTATAATACTCTTTTTAATTCCTTTTTATGTCCGAGAGAGAGAGAGTTTCGTAACCCAATATAAAGGGCTTATTTTCACAGAAGGTACCCCAACTTTGAAGATTGTAACAAAAAGATACCCCATGTTACGTTTGTAACAAAAAGGTACCCCATCTTTTAAATCTATAACAAAATCATACCCCTTCACCGGAATTGATACAATCCGGCGAATTTTTGATGAGGTGGCATCCATGTTGGCTTTCTCTCTCCTACGTGTTAATAATACCTTCTCTTCTTAGTAGTTTTTTTCTTAAAAATTTTAGAACAATATTTTTAGAGAAAAGTGCACCGTTTGCCCTCGAATTCTTTGAAAATTGCACGGTTTACCCCCAAACATTAAAAAGTGCACCAAATACCCATGAATTCTTCAGTAATTGCACGCTTTACCCCTGAACAATAAAAATTGCACCAAATATCCCTAAACTCTTCGAAAATTGTACTGTTTACTCCTGAACATTTAAATAAAGACGATAATTTTAGGAAAAGGTACTTTGGAAAATTTACATGGGTCAGATGAATCATATTCACAATTCTTGTGCATGAAAGTAACGCACTCCCTATCTAATAGTTTAGGACCAACGATGCAACGGTTTAATTTGTTCAAGGGTATTTGGTGCATTTTTTAGTATGCAGGGGTAAATCGTGCAATTTTCAAGAAGTTCGAGGGTAAACGGTGCAATTTTTATAAATCAGGGTAAAACATGCAATTTCTAATGAGTATGGGGGTAAACAATGCACTTTACTCAATATTTTTATGTTCAATACATAACAAAAAGAACATGATTCTTTATGAAAATATAATATTGATTTAAATAAAATTGTTCATGTATTAAGTTTTTAAAATAACAATTAATTCTTTGCAAATAAGTTTCTTTTTATTATATTTGGAGAATATAATTTTTTATTAATAAAAATAAATAATTTGCATTAAAAAAATAAATAAGTTTCTTTGATGGGGAATGCATCATCCCCTCTTTAATGCAATTTATTTCTTTTTTTAAATAAAGAAATTTATATATATAAAGTATAAGTTTACACTTTATTGTTCAAAATTCTATTTCTTTTTAAATATTTTATTTTAAACTTTTTTTAAAACTTATATATATAATTTCTTTATATATATATAATTTCTTTTTTTAAATTTATTTCTAAATTAAACATGGATTATAAAAGTACAATTTATTTTTTAAAAATAAAGAAATAAATTGCATTAAAGAGGGGATTATGCATTCCCCATCAAAGAAACTTATTTATTTTTTTAATGGAATTTATTTTTTTTAAAAAATTATATTCTCCAAATATAATAAAAAGAAACTTATTTGCAAAGAATTAATTGTTATTTTAAAAATTTTAATAAATGAACAATTTTATTTAAATTAATCTTATATTTTCATAAAGAAACATATTCTTTCTGTTATTTATTGGACATAAAAATATTGTTCTAAAACTTTTAAGAAAAAAATTACTAAGAGGAGAAAGTATAATTAACACATAGGAGAGAGAAAACCAACATGAATGCCACCTCATCAAAAATTCACCGGATTGTATCAATTCCGATGAAGAGGTATGATTTTGTTATAGATTTGAAAGATGGGGTACTTTCTTGTTACAAACGTAAGATGGGGTACCTTTTTGTTACAATCTTCAAAGTTGGGGTACTTTCTGTGGAAAAAAGCCAATATAAAGTGTTCGTTATGAATTTTTGTATCCAACAAAAGATAAGATTTAAATGGTGGCAAATGAAAGGAAATAAGCAAAGGAAATTCCAACGCTGTTTAGTAAAAGAAGAAAAATAGGGTGGATGTACTCCTTTCGTTCATTACTTTCTTTTTTGGACTGTCTACTTTTTTTCTTGTTCTCTAGTTTGGCAACACACTTTTACACTTTTTACACTGTGTTTGGTTCAAGGAATTTGTAATGAAAAAAAATGTTTTCTCTTATTTTCCTCACAAAAGTGGGAGGAATTTGAATTGGTATTCTCTCCTCTTAGTACATTTTGCTTTCTCATTTTCTTTTTCTTCCATTTTTATTTTCTTTTCCTCTCTAAGCATACAAAAGAAAAATATTTTCCTCCTATTTTCTTACGAAAATCCACAAATCAAACACAGTGTTAGTGAATGCGTTATTATATATTACGTACCTACTTTTTATTTACACTATTTACTTTATTTCATACTACCGCCGTCCTAGAGTATTTGTTCACTTTCATTTTTACACACCATTCAATACACTTCTTTTAACATAATTTATATGTTAAAAAAAATCAAACAAGATCACACATGACTATATTTAGACTTACACATTGAGAGAATTTGATGAGTCAAAATGCTTAGATGAACAGTTCCAAAAGTCAAAACTGGACGAATACTCCGGAACGGAGGGAGTAATTTCCATCACATTAAGAAGAATGCATGAAAAATGTTTACAACTTTTAACTTTTTATAATCTGTGTACTAAGTCAAACCGGAAAAGAAATCTCAGGGAATAAATTTATAAAGAATAAAGATTTTCGTTTTAAAAAAGATTGGCAAGATCCCAGACCGGTTTAGGGAAGAGGGCGTGCGATCCCCGAGCTTTCTATATATCAGCACGTAGGCCTTCTCTCGAAGCGATTTTTACGCGTCTGAAAGATTGAAGCTGCAATCGAATCGTGGGAACCCTTAAGTAGTAAGTTAACTGTTAATCTAAGCCGAATTAAAGATTATTAAACAACGAACAAACTCTCTGTGATGATGCCGTATTGTTATCCCTCTTTGTTCTGTTTTAAAACCTTTTTTAGGACATTTGGCGGGCTTCTGTTAGCGTTTTGGCAACTCGATTGGCGCGTTTCTGGAGATGCCAGAACCTTTGCAAGTCCTCTGCCCTGGAGTAAATCTGTACTTATTTCAATTCAGAAGCTCGTAGTTATTAATGTTCTAAGAAATTTCAATTCTTTTGTTTCTTTCGCGTTGTGTGATAAGTTGGTGAACTGCATATGCGTTACTTTTGGGTTTCTAATGGTGTTTATGGTGGAATGTGTATGTGTTCATTTGGGCTCCCTTGTTTCTCATCTCCTCTGTCACTCCGAATTCCGATGTTATTTATGGGTTAACGTTTCATGTTTTGGGTTCATGAGGATTTTGGTAGTATTTTAAGAAATCAGAAGATGAAGGTATTGTTTTTATGATTCTACCGCAAGCTAATCATTCCAATGTTACACATCTCCATCTAGCACGTGTCAGATTTCACCTTTTTATGAATCCAGATTTGATCAAATTTTACATTTGCCTTGGATCAAATCTGCCCAGGAACTAATTATATATCCTTATTGGCAGTGCTCTGAATTGCCAGTGTAACTGTGTAACCATGACTTATGAACTCTTGATGAATTGTGGATCAGCACACTTGCACCTTAACTCTGATGCTAATACTCCATATTGTTCATCAGTTACAGTTTCCTCTTTAGAAAGATAAAAGTTAGTAGATTTTTCAAAAATTGGAGGTTATTATTGTTACTAGTATTTTTGCTAGGGTAGAAAATCCTTCTGATCCACATACATTTAGTGTGACTGGTTGAGTTTTGCTAAAAGTCAAATATTGCCTTAGGCTTAGGCAGTTAGGCCCAGCATCAAGTGTCCTTGAAGTCAGTATATGTCCACTTCTTCTTTTTTTTTAAAAAAAATCATGAATTGCTGTTTGGGGTGGCTTGTTTTCTATGGAATGTGAGTGCATATAATTTCTTTGCGTGTTTCAGGCCACCTGACCTACTCCCTGATGATACACAAGTAGAGTATGATCGCTGTGGGCGTCCAGCTTTGGAAGTTGACTACGATGACCCTGATGATGAAATTTGTGCTGACATGAGAGATCACAACCGCTATGCTAACCTTGCATTGGCATACTACAATGACAAACATGTCCGTGAATGTGATCTCACCCCCCTTCACCTTGCACTTTATTTTTTGGTTGTATTTTTCTAATTTTGTAAATTTTCAATTTCAATGAATTATTTGGGTTCCTAATTCTTCTTTTTCCATATTTTACTGTCGGTTTATTGCCTTGCAGTGCACTGACTATAAGGTTGTTAAGGTTCCTGGAGGCCGGCAGATCTATGAGGTAACGGTGGGTGCTCAAGTCATTGTTCACTGTGGCTTTTCTGCTTCACAATCCACAGCTGCTGAGTGTGATTCATCAGTTAAAAGCTTCTTTGCGCGTTGGAGCAATCAGAACAAGATAATGATGATGTGCGTGTTATTTCTTGTTGCATTGCAGACGGTAAGGACTTTCATGACATTTCACGTGTCCTGATATATGCCATGCTCTGAATTTCCTAGCACTCCATATCACTCTTTCCATTACCCAAAATTTATATTTAAAAGAATCTTTTCACAGCATATATTCTTTGTGGATTAGAATACGCCATGGCTTTCAAAGATGTAATCAACCTACTTGATTGTATTTGTAGAGTATGATTAAATACCTATAAATTAGAAAGTGACATGAAGATGAGAAACCTATGGCAACATCTCTAATATGTGCTAAGAATTTGTAGGATTGAAGAAATTCCTGAAATCTTTTTGAAGGAATTATGATCTCTAGAAATACTAAGAGCACTTAGGAAATTGAGGAAAACAAGTTGTGAAACACACCCTAGTGGTTATGTTACGTTGTCCTTGAAGTTGAGTGAAGATGAAAACTGTGTTTCTATTTCACTTTTTTCATGTCACTATTTTGTATCCTTTTATTTTCATTTCAGGTCTCAAAACTGTAGGCTGTAAGGGCTGCGATATTACAATGTGTGGTCCACGTGATCCATCGTGGCATGAGAAGAAGGTCGAGGATTCAAAACCTAGGTATAGTATTTACTATTCTATTATGTCTGTCTGTTTGCGTCTTTCTTGCACTCTTCTTTATTGAGCTCGAAATGTATTGTTGTATTCATACTTTAATTCTCCAATTGTGCTATTTTCCTTATTGTCTGACTCCGATATTTTGGTTTTGAGCTGCCATGTTATCTATTAGTACTTTTTTAATTATTGAGGCAGTAATCCTAATTGTTGCACATGACCGAAGATCAAATCCACCCATAAAGTTCACATGTGTGATCTATGTTACTTGGACTTGCATCCAAGTGTCCGCTTTAGATGCGTATCGCATCCAGCTATCGAAGTGTTTGGCACGGTTGTTCTCTAGGACTTTGAGTAACTGGGGTGTAAAGTGTAATATGCAATTGCGATCTTGAATTATGCAAAATGACATAGTTTCTGCATATCATGCATTTGCTCTTTTGCACTTGAGCAATAATAGTGTGTGTTTACCATTTATATTTTCAGGGAAGATAAATTTCCTTTATCAAAATATGCCCATTATTTGGCTGATGGGGTGAGCTTGAGTGATAAGGCGAGGTTGAGGCTTCCTTACCCATTATTGGCATTGGATTACTACAACAAAAAGCATGTATGTGTAATCAATCCTTGCCATTGTGATGAATCCTTTATCATTTTCTTGCTAGTTCATTTCTGAAATTGTTTATTGCAGCGTACAGACTACAAGCTTGTGGATGCCTTGCCATTATGCGAATTGGTTGGGTTCAATTTTATGATTCATTTGAACTTTATGGCAAGGCAAGAAGGTGATGTGTCAAACACGCTCTTCTTTGCTGAACTAGAGACATGCAAGCGTGGTTGGGTTGTTACTGCTTGTCGCAAATTACAGGGTACCAACTTTCCTATGCTTCTTCTCCTAAAGAATGTTGCCCCCACCCCACCACCACCTATGTTGCACGGATTCTTCAAATAGGTTGTACTTCCCGTCCTCGGTTGGGTACTTGGGTGAGTCCCCACGCCCAAATCATTAATAAATTATGAAAAAATTTAGCATTTCACAGTTCCGACCCAGTTTCCGTATAAGTCCATGTCCCCATTTCAGTGCAACTTAGAGTCCACCACTACCAAAAAACCAGAAAGGAAAAACACCAAATCTTTTTTCACACTTCCTGTTGGGACTCATTCACATCTCATCGATTTTGCATTTATTCACTGAGGGTGCTTCTCCCATGGTCACTTCTCATAGAAAATTGGCCCTTGTAGAGTTTCCATTTTTTTAAGAAGTTGGATGTTAACCAAGTAACTGGAATCTTCAATGTATGTGAACTTAGCTGTACGTGGCTTGCAAATGCATTTCATCACCTTCATTCGAATGAGTACACATGACCTTGATTCAAATAACTACAGTCGATGCTTGTGCTCTATGCTTTGTTTTTTTTGTTGATTTGATGTGCCCTTTTTCTTTCTTTTTGTTCTTATTATTATAGGATGTAAAACCACTGCTGGATGCTATATCTGTACGAATCGTTGGGGGAAGAGAGTTATTCATCCCACTTCTGGATTTCGTTTTGGGCGTTACCCTGATGTAAATCGAAGCCTACGCAAACGCCGCTAGAATTATATGGAACCCTACGCATTGGCTGCTAGAAGCCTAGAATTATGTGGGTCTTTTTTTGGCTTGGGAGTGTAAGTGGCGAAGAACGTTGAAGTGATTTGTAATTTATGAAATTGTTGTTGTGCCAAGTTAATTAACTATGTTGTGGCAGTGAATGTTGCTACTTTAAGTTTTTTCTTTTTGTGAACCCAGTACTTTTCAAATCAGCTTTTGATATCTAGGAACTTGTATGCATGTTGGTTGTTAGAGCACTAGCAATGAGAGTGATGCTCTGTGTGTCAAACCGGTGTTTAACGCTGTTATGGCGTTAAACATCGCCCCCTGCCGTGTTACCCAGGCATTAGGCCTGTTGTGTTAAACGCATAACGCGGCTGAAATATGAAGAAAGTTGTTGTCCCCAACCTCCCCCCCAACAGTCAAAATTTTGGTTGTTGCCAGCTAAAAAATAAATGAATTTTCACCTATAAATATCCTCTCATTTAAAAAAAACACCCCACATATTCTCATTCTCTCTACAACTCAAAGCATTCATGTTTCGTGCTTTTCTCAATGGGATGTTACCAGTGGTGGAAGCAACAATAAGAGGAAGCGGAATCGTATAGGCGGTCAATTTGAACTGGGATTGGGTGGCTACGCACGAAGCACTGCTCAATGACTACTTTAATATTCTGTATGTTTGCATGTCAAAGGATTTTAGTGGTAGTTTTTGAATGAGCCGTTTTTTGTTTTTTAACAATACTACACGATATTGAATATGAGGTGCTTTGGTTCACCCAATGGTTTGAGGCGATAGGCCGACACAGATTTAGCAACATCCAAAAGTGCATCGCCGCGCTTCGTCAAATGGTGTACGAAATTGCTGATGATATCTTCGATGAATACTTGAAGATGTTGGGTTGAAACATCAGGTCATGTACCTATAAATTTTATAAAGCTATAATTCAACTATACCATAAGAGGTATTTACGTAAGCTTACGGCGAGCGACATTGAACAGTTACAGGCGAGGCATGCCGCTAAACACGACTGTTTCACCATGTTTGAGAGTATCGATTGCATGCATTGAGAATGAAAAGATTGTCTCACTATGTAACATAGTCAGTACTTACGGGGTGATCGTCACAAACTTACTATAATGCTCGTAGTAGTGGCTTCAAATGATCTCTAGTTTTGACATATTTTTTGCGAGTTGCCGGCTCGATCAATATTCTTGATCAATTGCCCGTATTTGACGATTGGATTAATGAGACTGCACTCGACTCGTCTTTTAAGCTTAGAGAGATGCTTTACAACCATGGATATTACCTTGCCGATGAAATATAACTAGATTATTCCACAATTGTCGAGTCACATTGGAACCACTCGGTCTTGAACGGAAGACCTACAAAAAAGCTCATGATGCAGCAAGAAAGGATATTAATTCTTATTTAGAAAATGAAAAAATAGAGTTGAAAGAAACTGAAAAGTTAAAAAAAAAAACTAGAAGGATATAGAAGTGATAGAAAGGAGTTAGAAAAATATTAATAGAGTTGAAAAATGAAATAAAAAGTGTTGAAATATTTGTTTTATTTTATGCATTTCATATTTTATTTGCAAAAGTTATACTCTACTTTTTAATTTTTTATCTTTTTTATTTTCATCTATCTGACTATATTTTATCCCAAATCGCATTCATAATTTTTATGTGACTCACAGTACACTCTTTCTTAAGATTTTAAAAATAATATCAATCATATAATTTTTTATTTTTTAGTGTCAATTACTAATCCATGTAACAAAAATAAGAGACAAATGAAGCGATAATACTTTTTATACATCGATGTTGAAAGACAAAGGAACCAATTCATTCTCATACTCCGTAAAAACTTTTAGGATCCGTTTGGTATACGGAATTGATAGAATTGGAATTGAATTAGAATTAAAATTCCATGAGATTCAATTCCATAGAATTGAATTCATCAATTCCAATTCATTTTTTGCACTACCAATTTGAAATCCACGTAATTTTTGTGCTACCAAACAACAGAATATAATTAGAATTGAAGTCCTCAATTCTAATTCCATAATTTGAATTCTGTGTACCAAACGGGGTCTTAGTATTTTTTTCGTATTTCTCAAGATATTGAATCTTTTTTTACTTTTTAATCTATTTTATTTTTTAATAGTCAATTGGAGAATTTTTTTTGCAACGGAGATAGTACTTAGGGGCTATTTGTTTCAGCCTCTTAATGGTTCAGATGTCTGAATGGTTCAGCACTAAATGATTCTGACTGTTTGTTTCAGTCTCTTAATGGTTCAGATGTCTGAATGGTTCAGACATTTGCCTCTAAATGGTTAGGTATTATACAGAGTCTGAATGGTTAAGACATCTTATCTGAATTGATCAGACATTTGCCTATGAATAGTTAAGTAATATACTAGCTCTTAATGATTCAGACCTCTTACTGGTTCAGCACTTACCTATTCAGAAGTTATCAAACAGCCCCTTAATTTACATTCTACACATGCACATTTAAGAATTAAATAATATTAATCTCACTCAATTATTTCTTTGCACATCATATAGACATATGAACATTTATTTTTTTTCTTCATTTTTATTTTTATTTTTATTTTTTCTTCATATGAACATTTATTTTTTTAAATGTACTTAAACGTGCACATTATAAGAAATATTACTTCATCCGTCTCTACATGAGAGATTTTCATTTTTAAGAATTTAAAGAGAGTCTGTTTTAGTGTTGAGTTTCCAAAACAATCTTTCGATGTGATGTGTAAATGTAAGATTTGATGGATAAATTAATAATGAGAAAATCTGATGCGATATGTAAGTTAGAATTAATATGGGTAAATGTGATTTTTTAATGGAAATGAGAACTTTTTTAGGACATATGAAAAGAGAAAGATGAAAAGTTTTCAGAGACGAAGAAACTATATTGATATTTTGAAAGCATAGAGATAATAGAAAAACATTCACCCATGATTTAACACTTGGTAATCTGGTATACACTAAAGACTTACACTGGTATACTAAAAGCTCACATTGAACAAATTGGTAATGCAAGAAATTGTATATGTACTAAAATTTTGTGTTAATGTATGTCAAAAGTAAATTTTTGAGAGTTTATCAAAACAGTCAACATACTAATATGAAATTGAGATCAAAGTACTTATATTTTATATTATATTAATTATTTAGATAAAACAATATTTTAAAAATATATTATAAAACAAATCCAACAAAGTATTTTTTTCAATATCTAATGCTGAGTATCAATTTTAAAATTTATGATCAAAATTTATCAAGTTTAGATGTGAAAATCAAAACTGGGAAAATATAATTTTACTCCCAAAAAGTAATACTCCCTCCGTTCACAAATAAACTTTACATTGCGTGTTACGATGTTTGACTGAAATTATTTTCAAATCATTTTATATGAAAAATTGTGTAGAATTGAAAATTAAAAATTACATATTAAAAAACTATATCAAAAGATCTACAAAACTAGAGGTGACATGACTATATTATTTTATTAAATGGGTGACGAAAATATGCCAACAAAGTGAATAAAGTTTGACCATGTGAATAGTAAACGTAAAGTTTATTTGTGGATGGAGGGAGTATTTGATACTCCCTCCGTCCCCCATAGATCTTCCCATTAGCCCTTTTTATTTGTCCCACATAGATCTTCTCATTACCTTTTTTAATAATTAAAATACCACAACTACCCCCACTTACTTTATTTATTACACCTTTTCCACTTTATTTAATACACCCCACCCATTTTCATTAAGGATATTTTGGTAAATTTTCACCTTTTTTCAACTCTCTTAAAAAACCGTGAAAAGTCAAATTGAGAACATCTTACATGGACGGAGGGAGTACTATTCAAGGGACTTTTTGGAAGTAATAAAAAATCCCTCCGCTATCTTTTAAATAGGAGAGTTTTTCATTCCCTCCACTCTTCTTCCTATTCTTCTATCAAAATTTTCTCCATCATATCATTAAAAATAAATTTTGAAATATAATAATATAAAATAAATATAAATATAATAGTAATAAACAATGAATAAAAAACATATATATAAATTTAAAATATTGAATAATTTTAAGAGTAATGATAATAATAATAACAATGATAATAATAAAAAATAATACGGAGTAACAACAATACTAATAATAATCATATGAAAAACACATCATTTTTAGAGTTAATTTTTGGGGAAACTAGATGGTTTGAAAAAATTAGAATAGTTGAATAAAATGGAAGGGTTTTTAAAAAATTAGAAGATAGTAGAAAAAACAAGAAGAAACCCGAATAGACTCAAAAAAAACAAGGAACTAAAAAACTTGAAAAATCTAAGAGATTTCAACAAACAAGAATAAACTATATAAAAAAAAGTTAAGAGTTTAAGAGTAAAAAAGTTTATGTTTTGGGTTACATATTTATTTGTGTGCAAATATTTATTTGAGTGAAAAATTAATTAGGTAACTTTTTAACACTTTAATTTTATGTAATATATATTTAATGGTCAAAATATTGTATTGGAGACCGTGAAAATTTAAATAGGAAATTAATTTTAAAATAGGAGGAGTAATATTTATAAATGTACAGTTATGCTCCATTGTTAGCATTGAAAATTGTAAAACTACTCCGTACTTTTTGGAATGAATGAAATATACTCCGTATATACAAATATTTTTTGAATTTTTAGGATGAATTGAATGAAATATACTACGTACAAATTCTTTTTTGAGAACGTATACATACAGCAGATTCTGCAATTGTTTAATAAGCAAAAAATTAAAGATCAACAACAAACACTACTTGAGCATTGGAAGTAACAAAATTAATCTATATAATACCTCTACTTGTCTATGCTAACCCATATGGAATCTCAAAATTAACTAAAGTCTAAAACAAAAGGAGGCAGGAGCAAATACTTAAAAAAAAAACCTTTTCCATACTCTATATCATCAACTAATTAACTAGCTAGAGGACTTAATTAAACTCCTAAGTAATTAACTCGGCAATTATATTACTTATACTTGAAATGCTCAGGATAATCGCTGCGAGGCTGGTAGGTGTAGATGACAGATTTTTGTGTTTTCCCATCGGGTCCCTCCTGAAATTGGTACCGCTCAGAAAACCTTGGGCAGCGTTGTTCCGCGGCAGGGCCGGCTCGAGGAGCGGGGTAGTTTAAATCCGGTACACCTGGACGCGGCGGTGGTTGTTGATAGTGACTTCCACCGCTTCTCGCTGGTTGCTGATCGGCCATTATTATTATTATTATTATTATTATTATTATTATTATTATTATTATTATTATTATTATTATTATCTCACACCAATTAAAAAAGAGTTTGTATTAAATTTTTGAGTTAGCAATATGGCGCATATATATAGCCTATAGGGGTGTGGTAGTGAGGATCCATAAGAGTTTTGGCAAGTACTCCGTAAGTAAACTAATTATAACATACAATAATTACTTATGAGGTTTTAACTAAATATGGCAGCATGCATTTCCTTATATAAATTAAAATTACTTCTCTAATGATTCCATGCCAAATTTAAATTGATCTTCAATTCCATCTAAATCTTTCCTATTATTTTATTTCCTATTTCCCATGTACTTCTTAACTTGCTAATTAATTAAATGCATGCCTCGTATTAATAACCCAATCATTTATAATAATATTTGGGAGTTAATTGACATGTGGCAATTTAAGAAGCCTTTTAATTTGATTACACGTGTCCAATGAAAGCGGAAGCTCCTTCCAGACCCAGTACCGATTCTTCACGCTCATCTTCCGGACCATCTTCTTCGCGAAAGGAAAGAAAAACAAACCCTGATTCCTCGCTCCAGATCTTCATGCAAGGAAAGAAATCCCAGGTACTGCTTTACATTTCTATTCGTCGAATAGGTTTCACGGAAAACCCACCGGTACTTCGAATAGGTCCTCTTCTGTTCTTCGCCATACTCAAGTCTTCTTCTCCAGAGCTATTGATCCTTCGCCGAAATCAAGCAATTTCTTGCGACTATTCTTCTACAGCAACTAATTCTCAGAGGGAAAGTCTCCAATTGTATAGCTCTATCAATGAAGGAAAGTCTCCAATTTCGTGAAAAAAAGTATTTCGGATCCAAAATTTTTGAAGCGTCAAACCGAGGTATGTTTCCAAAAATCATATGCATCAATTACTCAAGAATCGAGAGTAATTAATTTTATTCCCAATCCTTTTCCCAGATTTTTTGGCTCGATTGTTATCCACAATTTTTTGTTAAATTCATATATTGATTCATTTGAAAGAATTCTTAGGGTTCTCAGATTGATATATATATATATATATATATAGTAAAATTTGTTGAGTATAACACTAAAACATACTACTTTTCCCTATATAGGATTAATAATGTTTTTTTCCTTTTCTAAGACTATTTTTAAAAAAAATTCCTTTCTTGCCCCTAAAGACGATCACTTGTGTGGAAAAAACCAACGCTCCTTTGCAGTTTTTTTATTTATAAATATTTTATTTACATAATTATGGGTTAATTAGCCATTATTTACGCCTATAGTTTAGTAAAAAAAATATATTACTCCGATCCACAACCCCTAATTTATCTCCACTCATCAGATTTTGCCTTACCATTTTATTTCTCCTCGGCATTGCTTTCTTCTTACTTCTCAACATATTTTGCTTTCTGCTTTGCCAATTTTTATTACTTTTAAAATAATAGTCATTTCTTATTTTTAAAACATTTTTGCCTAAGTTTTGTAGAACCTTTGATATAATTTTTATGTATATACTTTTATTTTTAAATTTTACACCAATTTTTTTAAAAAAAGTGAACTGAGAATAACTTTAATTAAACAACGTAACACGTAACGAGAATATAATCTCTAGAGAAAAGGAGTGTTTTTCACCGTAAATTTAAATATCCTCATCGTAATTTAAAATAGTAATATTTTTTATCAAATAAATAATATAATTTGGCGTAAAAGTTCTTATTTCCATCTTTAAAAAAAAATTTGATTCATATTTTTCCTTTTTCTTTTTTTACTTCATTATTTTTTACTGCGCAATTCACTCTTTTTTAAACTTCAGGTTGGGTCAAACTAGGACATTTCTTTTTTAGAAGGGAGAGTAGTAAACATGATTTTTTAGTACATACTCCCTCCGTCTCTAGATAGATTACAATTTTTTTCTCTCTCCTTTCGATAACTTTTGTTTGTTTACGCGATTTCATTAAGCATTTGATAAAGTAAAATAGCTTTTAAGAATTTTTTTAATATATAATTCCATATAAATAGCTTTTAAGAATTTTTTTTAAATAGCTTTTAAGAATTGTTTTTAAATGGCAGAGAGCACACAAATACAAAATGTGAAATTTGCACTAAATAGGACTTAAGCATAAGTCTTTTATCAAAATAGGACTTAAACTTTTTTATTCCCTAAAAAGTACTCCCTCCTTCCTAAAACGTTCTTCTCAGTTTGACTTTTCCCCATTTTTAAATTTTGGGTTTGACTTCAAATTTTACCCTCCTTAAAAAAGTTTTTTTAAAATTTTTTTTTGCAATCATTCAAAATATAGAGTTAGAAGATAATGGTGTAAGTACATGAGGGTATTAATGTCATTTGTCATCTTTTCTTTCTAATGGGAAGGTAGTTTTAGAACGGAGAAAAATGGGAAGTGAGAAGAACGTTTTAGGACGGAGGGAGTACTTAATAATGTCTAATGAGAGAATTAATGTCTAGAGATGATGGATATTTACTTGAATAATGACTAATGGATAATGACCAATGGTCTTACATTGAGAAATAAAAACATAGGAAAATTTGCACTAAATAGGACTAAAACATAAGTCATTTCTTAATATAGGACTTGAACTTTTTATTCCCTAAATAATACATAATAATGTCTAGTGAGAGAAATAATGTCCAGTGATAGTGGATATTTACTTGAATAATGACTAATGGATAATGACCATTGGTTTGGGATTGGGTTTTTTTTATTTGAAGAAATTTGGAGAAGCAAAGTTTAGATTTGAGATTTGGGATTGAGTTTTTTTATTTGCTTCTTCCTTTTTAGCCGCCGTAAAATAAGCCTGCAATTTGGGATTGAGTTTTTTTTATTTGTTTCTTTGGAAATAAAAAAAAGGATTTGGGATTATTGCTACGGAGTATTAAATAGATCGTAGGGTTAATTTTGTCCTTTGCCTTCATGAAACATAATCCGAATAAGACTAGTCCTATTTAAGGAAAACTACTATGTTTTCGTCCTATTTGAGTAATTTACTCATATATATATATATAGTTATCATTGAACTTAGGCTCCTGAATAGTATTAGATGCAGAGGAGATAGCTGCCTTTGTTTTCATGGTATCTCACAAGTCAATGCTCTCTATTCTTACACGCGTCTCTCTCTCTGGCTTATCACTTCTTCGATTGATTCACGGAACCCTTCAGTAAAATATTCGCCTTCTTTCTCCAACTGGATTTGTTCTTCGCTATAGGACAAATTTCCATATGCAGAAATTCTGCGTGATTCTCTGTCCATATGCAAAAATTTCCATATGCTGTCAATCTCCTCTTTTTATTTTTCTTTTTTTAAATGATGGTATATGTGGATACTCACTCACCTTATTCTTGATATGATTTTTTTCCCTTTACAACCATTGCTACAGAGCTTCAAAATGGGACAGTGGGAGCAGTACTGAGAGTCATCGTTAACATTTGTGCAGAGGTGAGAAACTGAGAATAGTTTTATACTCCATCCGTTTAGAAAAACACTTCCCATTTGGATTTGGGGCAAAAATAAGGAAGTGTTAAATTATATATGATTTCCAATTTTGCCCCTGATGTGATGGGTAAAAGTAAGATGTGATGGATAGATTATTAGAGAAAAAGTATGATGTGATAGGTAGGGTATGAAAAAGTAAGGGTAAAAGTGGTTTTTTAATAGAAAAGGGAAGTGTTTTGTAGGAAGTGGAAAAAATGAAAGAGGAAGTGTTTTTGAGAACGGAGGGAGTATATAGCATGCATGGGTAAGGTTGCACACCTTTGGATGAAAATGGCCAATACACAGAACATAATTTATGAGTGTTTTGACCTTACTGTTATGCACAATTTCTCCCAAAATTTGATCAATTGCGGCACCCTGCATAGCATTAACTTTTGAAACTTAGGGCAGTTTCACCATAAAAAAAAGGAAAAATTACCCAAAATAATCCCAACTTTATTCGGTCTTTCAAAAATAATCCCACCTTTCACTGTGGTGCATAATAATCCCAACTTTACTGAAATTTGCCAATTTTGGGTCGCCGTTAAATTTCTAACGGAGAGTTAACGGAAATGCCCGTTTTAGGCAACAAAATGAAAGTTGGGATTATTTTTGATGAATTTTCATTTTTTTTAAATTTTTCATTTAAATTTTTTAAATTACTTTCTACCTCCATCATCATTTCTTTTTTCCTTTTTTAAAGATTAGTCTTAGTTTAAAAAATAAAAATAATAGATATAAAAATGAAAAAAATGAGAAATGTAACTAAAATGATACAAAAATAATAAAATAAATAAGGTAATCAATGGAAACTAACTTGAAATTGGTAAAAGTAAAATAAAAATATACGGGTGGGTTTTAATATTTCACGCATTATACAAAGTATTAACATATCACTTCTTATTTTTTAGAAAAAATTATCTACAATAATTCCAACTTTACCGGACGGCTTTTTCTTTTAAAAAATAAGTAGTACATTAAGACTCCGTATAGCGTGTAAAATGTTAAAACCCACCACTCCGTATATATTTATTTTATTTCGGAGTTTCTGTTTAATTTCTATTGATTACATTATTTATTTGATTAATTTTGTATNTGGTTTTAGTTATTTTTCTCATTTTCATTATTTTTTATATCTATTTTTTTCTAAGGTAAGAATAATCTTTAAAAAAGAAAAAGAAATGGAGGTTGAAAGTAATTCAAAAAATTTAAATAAAAATTTCAAAAAAAATTAAAAAACAAAAAATCATCAAAAATATTCCCAACTTTCATTTTGTTGCCTAAAACGGGCATTTCCATTAACCCTCCGTTAGAAACTTAACGGCGACCCAAAACTGGCAGATTTCAATAAAGTTGGGATTATTATGCATCACAGTGAAAGGTGGAATTATTTTTGAAAGAATGGATAAAGTTGGGATTATTTTGGGTAATTTTTCCTAAAAAAAAAAGAAAGGAGTTAGAAACCCAAACCTTGGTAACCCTGCTTGTGTTGGAATTATTTTGTACTTGGGTCATTTTGGGCCTATTTGTTGTATTGCACAGGGCCCATTAGTTCTTTTGTTTTGTTGGTTCACTTTATCATATACGGAGTATATAAACCTTTGTAGTATTGAATGAAAGTGTGGAATTACCAAATCTGAAATGGTATCAGAGCCGCCATAAATACAAACCCTAAAATATCCAATCATCTCCCATGGCTGCGGACAAAAGCGACGGATCGAAAAAGGAGGCAGAATCCGTTGATTCAAACTCACCCTATTACATCCATGCCTCGGATTATCCAAAACAGATGCAAGTTAACGACGTCCTCACTGACAACAACTACAGCGATTGGGCTCAAGAAATGATGAATTTCTTGTTCGCCAAAAACAAAATTGGATTTATCGATGGATCAATTTTAAAACCCGAGAAGACAGACCCAAAATATATGTTGTGGATGAGGTGTGACGCCATGGTAAAGGGGTGGCTCACAACTGCAATGGAGAAGGACATTCGCAGCAGTGTCAAATACACCAACACAGCCTCTGAGATGTGGAACGATCTTATGGAAAGATTTGGGAAAGAAAGCGCACCAAGAGCATATGAGCTGAAACAATCACTCACGGTCACTCGCCAGGATGGAGCTACAGTCTCAGCATATTTCACTAAATTGCGGGGACTGTGGGATGAAATCCAATCTGCTCTGCCCATTCCACGCTGTTCTTGTGGAGGGTGCACTTGTCAAATTGGGAAGAAACTTGTTGAGCTCCACGAAAAGGAGAGGCTGTATGAATTCTTGATGGGACTTGACATGGAATTTGCAGTTATACGAACTCAGATTTTAGCCATAAAACCCTTACCGAGTCTGAGTAATGCTTATCACCTTGTTGCCGAGGATGAGAAACAACGACAAGTTGCCATCTCCAGAAACTCGTCCCAGGAAGTTGCAGCCTTTCAAGCCTTTGAGCCAACAAGGCGCGACACACAGCAACAGAAGAAACCATGGCACAAAGGGGACAAGAATGTTTTCAGTAAAAGAGGTGAGCACTGCAACTTCTGTGGACGAGATGGACATAACCGTGAGGGTTGTTTCAAGAGAATCGGATACCCAGATTGGTGGCCAGGAAAAGGGAAAGAAAAAGAAGGCCTCAAGCCCAAGGTGGCTGTTGCAGAGATGAGCACCAGTTCCATATCGGGCTTGACGGAGGAACAATACAGGATGTTCTTGAGGCACTTCAATGAGGGCAGCGGTCTCACAAACGAAGAAGTTTCCCCCATAGCCAACATGACAGGTAGATTTGGAGTTGAAGGTGATTGGATTGTTGATAGTGGGGCGACCGAGCACGTCACCCATCTAGGTGATCTGCTTGAGAACACCACATCAAAGGCACAGGAGATGCCAGTCACTATCCCTAATGGAGCTGCCATTCCAGTTAAAGGAAGAGGGGAACTATTATTAAAAGAAGGAGTCAAAATCAATGGAGTCCTATTTGTTCCAAATTTCAAATACAATCTTTTGTCTGTTCGACGACTAACTAGAGATTTAAATTGTGCCATAACCTTTTTCCCGGATTTCTTTGTCATACAGAGTTTGAAATCGAGGAACTTGATTGGGTCGGGTAGGTGCAGTGGAGGCCTTTACCGAATGAGGGAAATGAAGGGAAGAAAAGCTTTTGCAGTTGATTTTGGATTATGGCACAAGAGATTGGGACATGCCTCAAATATTAAACTATCACAAGTTGATTTTCTCAAGGGTGTGACTTCAGAGAATAAGATGTGCGACTCTTGTATTAAGGCCAAATTTACTAGGCTGCCTTTTCCAGTTAGTATCACAAAAACAGAAAGTTGTTTTTGATTTAGTGCATTGTGATATTTGGGGAGGCTATAGAACTCCATCTTTGTTTAAAGCCCATTATTTTTTGACTCTTGTTGACGATCATAGTAGAGCTGTTTGGGTGTACCTACTCAAACGCAAGTGTGAAGCCAGTGCTTATTTAATGAGTTTTTACAACATGATTGAAACACAATTTGGAAAACCCATAAAACGAATTAGATGTGATAATGGGGGAGAATTCACGTCGAATCAGATGCGTGAGTTCTACAATGATAAGGGCATTGCCCTGGAGACAACTTGTCCGCATACATCACAACAGAATGGGGTTGTGGAACGAAAACATAGACATCTCCTGGAGATTGCTCGGGCATTACGCTTTGAGGCTCACCTGCCAACACGTTTTTGGGGAGAATGCATTCTGACAGCAACATACATAGTTAATCGAATACCTTCGAAGGCTATAGATGACAAAACTCCCTTTGAGATCTTGTTCAAGAAACTCCCTGACTATGGTCACATGAGAACTTTTGGTTGTTTGGCATACTATAGAAACACGGAAACAAAGGGAGATAAATTTGAACCAAGAGGAAAGCCGGGATTGTTCCTGGGATATCCCCATGGAACAAAGGGATACAAAATTTACGATCTTGAAAGAAAGAAAATTATCATTTCAAGAGATGTGAAGTTTGTGGAAGAAGTCTTCCCGTTCTCAAAAGAAGAACAAGATAAAAATGATGAAGGGCAGATTTTTGATTACACGTATGAGACCTTGAAGAAACAAGGGAAGAATAAAGAAGACAACGAAACAAGGGGAGTAACTATTGAACGAGAAAATGTCATTGGCCAACACAATGAAGACTTGGAACAAGAAATCCCAAGTGAAGAAGATAGTTCGACCGAAGGTGACAAAAACATAGACCACAATGAACAGAGGATAGAATCTGAACCACCAGGCAATGAACCTTCTGTTGAAGATCAAGAGCATCCACAACTTGAGCCAGTTAAAGAAAAAAGGGCCAGAACTCGTCCAGCCTATTTGAATGATTATGAAGTGAAGCTTCCCCCATCGGTTGACCATGCACACCCAGATTCCAGTCAAGACACCTCGACGGTACATCCTCTTGCTAACTATGTTTCTTATGATAAATTTTCTGACACCCACAAAGCTTTCTTGACGGCCATCAACTCACACGATGAGCCAAAGAACTTCTATGAGGCTATACAGAACCCAAATTGGAAGGAAGCCATGAGAAAAGAAGTAAGGGCCCTTGAGCAGAATGGCACCTGGACCCTTGAGAACCTCCCACGAGGAAAGAAAGCTGTTGATTCAAAGTGGGTGTACAAAATCAAGTACACACCAAATGGTGATATTGAAAGATACAAGGCAAGGCTTGTCGCAAAGGGATATACACAGTCAGAAGGAATTGATTATCATGATACCTTTGCGCCAGTAGCGAAGCTAGTAACCATGAACACTCTACTTGCTGTTGCAGTCAAGCGTGGATGGGTTATCCATCAATTGGACGTGAACAACGCCTTCTTGCACGGTGACCTCAAAGAAGAAGTATACATGAAGATACCACAGGGGTTTGGAAGAGAAAAGGAAACGAGGGTTTGCAGACAAAGAAAATCTATATATGGCTTGAAGCAAGCTTCTCGCAATTGGTATCAAAAGTTCACTTTTTCCCTCATACAACTTGGTTACAAGCAATCAAAGGCAGATTACTCATTGTTCATACACAAAGAAGGAGGGACTTTTGTTGCTGCTTTGATATATGTTGACGACGTCATCATTGCTGGGAATGACATGAAGAAGATTCAACATACGAAGGACCATCTTGACAAGGACTTTAGTATTAAAGACCTTGGAACTCTGAAATACTTTCTCGGAATTGAGGTTGCTCGCACATCTGAGGGGTTGATTCTCTGTCAAAGGAAGTATACACTGGATATTCTTAAGGACAGTGGTTTTGAAGGATGCCGACCAAGCCCTCTTCCCATGGAGCAAAATTTGAAAATTGACAAAGGAGAGGAGGAAGACAAAGTTGATGCAAATCAATACAGAAGGTTGGTGGGAAGACTCCTTTATCTTCAAGCCACGCGACCTGATATAACATACTCTGTCAATGTTTTGAGTCAGTTTGTGGCTGATCCAAGATGCAACCACATGGATGCTGCAATTAGAGTTCTCCGATATCTCAAAACCACACCTGGTCAGGGGATATTGCTACAGAAGGAAGGGGGCACTGACCTCACAACGTATTGTGATTCGGATTGGCTTGGATGTCCTTATACTCGGCGGTCGAGGACTGGTTATCTGTTACTGTTTGGAGGTGCTCCAATTTCTTGGAAATCCAAGAAACAATCTGTGGTATCTCGTTCTTCAGCAGAGGCGGAGTACAGAGCTATGGCAGTTGCTGTTAGTGAGATCATATGGGCTCGATGGCTACTGAGAGAGTTAGACGTATACCCAGATGGACCCACACCTCTTTATTGTGATAATCAAGCAGCAAGACACATTGCAAATAACCCAGTTTTTCATGAGAGAACTAAACACGTTGAAATGGACTGTTATTTTGTTCGTGAGAGGGTTGAGTCCAAAGAAATACAACCTATGAATATAGATTCAAAGTCTCAGATAGCTGATTTGTTCACAAAAGCTCTTGGAGTGCGGCAATTGAAGTTTCTACCGAGCAAGTTGGGCATTCGAAATCTACACGCTCCAACTTGAGGGGGAGTGTTGGAATTATTTTGTACTTGGGTCATTTTGGGCCTATTTGTTGTATTGCACAGGGCCCATTAGTTCTTTTGTTTTGTTGGTTCACTTTATCATATACGGAGTATATAAACCTTTGTAGTATTGAATGAAAGTGTGGAATTACCAAATCTGAAAGCTTGCTCGGGACCTCAAGTACCTCGAACAACATCTACGTACCAGTTCAAAGATGTTGCAACAAGTCTTTTGCTTGAAGCCTCCCGTACTCAACATCTGATTGTAGTAGTATATTTGATACATATATAATAATAATAATCATTATTTTTGGTATTCGGATGGATGGGGACAGAAAATTACCAGCACATTTATAGTTCCCCATGAGTGATATCTCACAAATCTCAAAATGTGAGCCAGGTGTCCTCTCACTAAAATACTCAAATATGCTGAAGATTATGGTATAGAAAATATGTAAATGTGAAAGAGCTTTACAAACTTAATGCAGTTAGTGATTTGAACATGTTTATGAATGCACCTTCACACTGTCAACCCAATCCATGTGTAAGACATTATTTAAAAGATTTAAAAAATAAATTTAAAAAAACATTTAAAAAAGAAACAAATCCTTTAATATAAAATTTGAGAGTTCAAACTATAAGAAACTGACATTTGGCATTCTCATAACCAGCCAATTGGCACTTTTTTCTTTCAAATCGATGCTAAGTACTGGAAGTTCTCTGGCTCAGAAAAACGAGAGCAACTCCTTGCCTCAGACTTCCTGCTACTGTCGATCCTTGGGTATTTAGCTGTTCTGACTTTTTTATGGTTTATTCAGAGTTTTTTTATTTATATTTTTCTCTGATAGTTTTTTTATCTACGGATATTTGCTTCAATTATCCTATGGATTAAATTCAAGAAGTGTTAATGTGATGTTTTAAAAAATTCAGGCTATATTTGACAAGAAAACTGGAAGAAGCAGAAGATTTGAGTTTTTGACAGTGCCTAGAGTGGAGGAAGCTGGAGTTGCTGTTTAAATGTATATGTGAGCTTCTTTCTCTTTTACTATTCATATTAGCATACATAACACTCAATGATGACAATTTTATTTATAAGCATTTTGTTGAAAACGTGCTGTGGTTTCAAATCTCAGTTTTCATGAGTAATTTACTGAGTAGGTAAGCTTATTGGTGTGAAATTAGACTTTTGAATAATTTGGGGTGTCATATTCAGTCTCTCACCATGAACCATATCATTTCCAGAACTTAATACAAATTTCCATTTACTGAAATTTGACATTGTTTTTTAGTTTGAACTGGAGTAAGAAGACTAGAGGTTGGTGCCATGGTTCTTGCTTATAGAGGTATTTTTTGTATTGACGAGTTTGATAAACCTGGAGGTTGGTGGATTGAATAAAAGAACTTTTCATAATAACTAATTCTGATGCACTCTTTATTTGATAGACTTGAGGAGGAACACTTTTAATCACATCTAGAGCACAAGAAACAATAATACGGATATCAATAGTCCACGCCAACCTGAAGTTTATAAGACAAGTACATATGCATCTTATGCCAATTTGAGTATATGAGAAACACCCCATGTCGAGATAAAGGTTAGAAAATAATAAAATACTTCTATGTTTTTTTGTTAGTTAACACGATCCATGACTTTAGATGACTCTCCATCCAAGCAGCATATCCCTGGAGTGTTTTTGGTATGTGTGCAAATGTGCTATCATGTTTTGTTGCTGATTAAGGTTTGTGTATTCATATTTTTTCCTTTGTTCTATACATTCCTTCTTGAAGGCCTTGGTGCTTTTAAGTTATTATTTCCACATTTGTGCTTATTGCTAATTATAGACCTGTATTGGACATGCAAAGTTGTGGCTCAATAGTTGGGTTTTGAATCTGAATTTGTTTTTCCACTCCACTGATTTTTTCTATCCCAGCATAGTTTGTATTCTTATAGTTGGTGGTTTAATAAATTGAATGGCTTCATTTTTGTTAGAAATTAAGATCATCATCATTATAATCAAAGTATCTAATCTTTTAACAAAGATCGGAGAGACCCCCAAATCCGACATAAAGTTGAAACTATGGGAACATGATTGAGCTTTGGAATCGGTTGGAATACGC